CTTTTAATCCTATCACTCAGGAGGCAGGGATCTGCCTGGATCTCTGTGAGTTCAAGATCATACTGGGAACAGACAGGTGTGGTGGCATATGCCTTAAATTCCAACACTAGTCAACCATAAAGGTGTGGAGGTCTGTACAGACAGACAGGAAATGACAGAGCTGGGTAGGAAGAGGAAGTGATGTAGCTGGACAGAGAGAGCAGATGAGATGCAGAACAGAAAGGCATATAGGGGTGGGTAGACAGGAAGTAGGTCTCTTTTGGAAGCTGAGGGTTGGTAAGGTGAGGTTGGCTTGTGGCTTTTCCTATTCCTTTGATCTCAAGTTTTAACCCCGATATCTGGCTTGGGAGTTTTGTGTTTAATAAGACCGGTTAGCAATTTGTCTACACTCTCTGGGCCAAGAGATCGCAGAATCCTCATTTTCTAATGGCTGAAAAGCATGTGATTCTATGGGCTTCTCCTCCTCCTCCTCCTCCTCCTCCTTTTTTTTTGGTCCAGAATCTCTGCAGCCTTTGTTGGCTTGGAGTCCAGGGTTGGAAGGGGTGCTTTCAGTGGCTCCTGACCTGACTCACAAGCCCCATGCTGGCCCTGTTGATAGACCCAGGTTTGACAGAATCACACCACCAGTCGACTGGTCAGCACATGGTCCCCAGTGATCTAGGTCACTTTTTCTCTGTTTACACACACCTGTCTGGTGAGTGAGGACTTACCCTGCTCCCACCTCATCCCTGATGCCATTGGTCTCTTGATTGCATTAAGAGATCTGGACTGGGGAATGCCCTGGTTCCCTGGACTTATTTCCAGCAAGGATGTTTGGGGCAGTGACTGGGGGTGGGGGGAACCTACCCTGGATGGGAGTAAAATAGCATTTCACTGGGTGTGTAGCGCACATGACAAAGGGCATGGGGAGAAGCAGCAGGAAGTCTGCAAGGCCCTTTGTTTTCCCAGTGACTCTCCACATCTTCCCATCTGTATCCACCACAGCTGTTGAGCCTTTCCAGGTAGCCCAGCCCCTCTCCAGGGGCTTCTAGGCCTTCACCAGCTGCATGACACTGCTGAAGTAACTTGCTCTGGGCTGGGTACCTGGTCTCTGCCTTCCCAGCTTGCAGATGGCCATTGCTGGATTACCAGACCCATCGTGTAAGCTAATCCAGAAACTTCCATTTTGTAATACATGCTCTTCCTCTAGAGAGCTCTGCCAGTCTCCCTCTGTCTCCTTACACGAATATGTGATCACATCATTGGACCAGCCAGATCATCCAGAATATTCTCATTCAAGATCTTTAGTCTGTTATTCAAAACCACTGGCCAGATGAGTCAACAAGTCAACATTCACAAATGTGAATGTTAAGGCTGCTTAACCGGCAGCCTCTCCATACTGAGTTTGCTGTGTCAAGAAGAAAGTCTGACCAGCAGAGGTTTACTTTTAAGTTCTACCACACATAATGAAGAGAAAGCATGGAGAGATAATGTTAGGGGGCAGAAATTGTGAATGAAGGAAACCAACTACATGAAGAACCATTAAAATTGGGCTGGTGGGAGATAGATTGCATTTTAATGTAACTTGTGGAGGAAAAACTCTTAATGCTAAGGAAGTGGTTTACTTTCCAAGACCATTTCTTTGGGAAAATAGAATCAAAACTTTCATCCATAGTTGTGGTTTTGTGCACAGGAGTGTGTGTGTGTGTGTGTGTGTGTGTGTGTGTGTGTGTGTGTGTGTACACGCATGCTCGCACATGACTGTGTGCAAGAGGCAATTCTTCCTTCTATTGTTAATGGGGAACTTTTTCCACAATGAGGTTTGTTCACTAAGGTAATGTCCTGCAAGAGTTGTAAAGTAGAACACGTGACCATTGGTGCTGACGCGTCACACAGGTAAAACTGAGTTCTCGGGCCTTGATGGCTCAGCAAGTAATGGTTGAAGCCTGGTACCCACATGGTAGGAGGGAGTTGAATCCTTCAAGCTGCTCTCTGACCTCCACAGGTGTACACCCTCCCCAACACACACACACACACACACACACACACACACACACACACACACACACACACACCATGAAGTAAATAAAAAGTAAAATGAGGTTGTGTGAACTCACCTGCCTAGTCAAGCATTCATTGTGAAGGTATTTTCTCATCCTGATCCCTCCTCCTTCATCCTGATCCCTCCTCCTTCATCCTGATCCCTCCTCCTGACCCCTCCTCCTTCATCCAGATCCCTTCTCCTTCCCTGTATCCTCACAGACTTTGCTCAGATCTTTCCAGTCTAAAAAGCAGAATGAAACAAAAAGTGTCCAACAACCATCAGAACATCAAACATCTTCCTTCATCCTGTTAGTCTTGATTAGAAAAGTTGTTTTTTTTTAAAGCCTGTCTTTGTATTTCCACTCCTCCATAACCTAGTGGTATTGAACACCCAAACATGATTTCTGTCCTCTAATATCACCCTTTGGTGGTAGGCTTTCTTAGCCACCAAACATGATGGCTGTGTGCAACGTCTTGGCATCTGATGATAGATAGGAACCTTCCCTCACACCCTGCCTTGCATGATCCTTTTCACGGCTTCTCTAGCTCCTGCCATCCCTGTACATGGAGCTTTCCCAGAGATCCCTCATTTCCATAATGCTGTTACTTTGAGACCCCCAACCTTAACCTGTCCCACTTAGAACAAATGATTTCCCAATTTTCTTTCAGTCTGAGTCCCAGCTGTAACCTCAAACCTCTTTTGACCAAATGCGCCATCCCCAGGAGTTGTACCCACCAGACTTCCTCCTCTCTGAGGCTCCTCCTCTGCTCCAGCCAGTGAGGAGCCAAGCCCCAGGTGTCTGCCTCTCCCTGGACCACGTTACAGAGATCTCCTTCCTCCCTTCATTTCTCTCTTCCGTCCGCCCTGGACCCGCTCCCGGCTCCGCTCCCGGCTCCGCTCCCGGCTCCGCTCCCGGCTGAAGGCTTTCTTCCACCGTGGTTCTGCATTGCCACTAACCAGGTCGGTGGCTTTGTCCTCCGTGTTTGCTTCCACATCTAGAGTCAGAGCAGAAACAGACTTTCCCACTGCACTGAGGTCGTCTCAAAATTGTGTCTAATGGGAGCGTTTCACTCAAAGAGAATGAAGAAACATGGAGTTAAGAAGTTGACTGTATGGGGATAAAGAACTGTGGTCACCATATCATGTAATGAATGAGTGGTTAAAGAAAAAGGGTATTTAAGCCATAATAATTATGACAAAAACAAAAAAAGATGACTTCAGTGCTTGAACGGTTGTCTGATGGAAGAGGGCTGCTTTTGTTCCATTCCGTGTGGCTAAGAAAGATAGAATTTGAACAAAGACATAGAAGCTACAAGAAAAATTGTTTGAGCCAATTTAAGAAAAAAATAGGACCATATAAAGTTGGGACAAGCAGTCACCAGTGGCAGATCTTTTACCAGAAGGGGCTGTTTACACAGGGTGGCTTCACAGGACCGTAGAGGCTCACTCACCTGCTGCTGTTTCCAAGATCTGGAGTTTCCTTGATTTATGATTTATCCTGTCAAAATTTTACTCCATTTTCCAACAGGAAATAATATGGGAGGGGGAGGGAGAGGGAGAGGGAGAAGAAGAGGGAGAGGGAGAGGGAGAGAGGGAGAGAGGGAGAGAGGGAGAGAGGGAGAGAGAGAGAGAGAGAGAGAACGAGAACGCGCATAAGGAAGCCAGAGACGAGTGCCGACTATCTTCTTCAAGGCATCTCTCCCTGAACCTCACCAGCTGTCCAGCAATCCCCAGGCACTTCCCACCTGCCCCTCTCCAAACTGGAGTTGCAGGAAAATGCTCCCAATCATGCTGGAGATCCAAATTCAGGCCTTCAAGCTTGCAATTTACCAACTAAGTAATCCCCCGGCCTCCATGTGTCGTGTTTGAGGAATATTTTCCCTCTTCATCTCAGGCACTGCAACAAATGACTGGCCCCTGGCCTGGTCAGGGTCACCATTGCTGTGAGGAAACACCATGACCAAAGCAACCTGGGGAGGAGAGGGTGTGTTTGCCTTACACTTCCACATCACTGTCCATCACTGAGGAAGTCAGCACAGCAGCTCAAGCGGGGCAGGACCCTGGAGGCAGGAGCTGATGCAGAGGCTATGGAGGGGCGCTGCTTATTGGCTTGCTCCTCATGGCTTGCTTAGCCTGCTTTCTTATAGAACCCAGGACCACCAGCCCAGGGATGCCACCACCCACTGCTGGGCCCTCCCACTTCAGTCACTAATTAACAAAATGCCCTACAGTTGCCTCCAGCCAGATCTTAAGGAGGCATTTTCTAATTGAGATTCCCTTCTCTCAGATGACTTTAGCTTGTGTCAGGCTGACATAAAGCTACCCAGGTCAGCCTCTCGACTCTAAAGAACACAGATATGTGTACTGGGCCAGGGAAATAGCTAATGTGGTAAAGTACTTGCCTGACAAGAATGAGGACCTGGCTTAGAGCCCCCAGAACCTACATAGAGAGCTGAGTGTTGTGGGATACTCTTGTAATTCCAGCAAGGAGAAGAGGCAGAGATAGGCGGACCCCCGGAGCTCACTGGCAAGGCTGCCTAACCTACTTGGTGAGTTTCCGGTCTGTGATAGGCCTTGTCTCAGCAAGACAGTAGACAGTGCTGAGGAACAGCACCTGAGGTTGTCTTCCGGCTTCCACATGTATAATGCATATGTGTGCACGGCACACATGTGGACACACATACAAATATAAATATATAAATATAAAATGTGTTAATCTGGTTCTAGATGTTAATCATTAGTGTGCAAATGATGTCTCTGCCTCCATATTGACCACGAGTGCAAGGAATTAGGCACACCAATGCCTGAATGGTTTCATAATGAAATTTTTAAAATCTGATTTTTAAAAGCAGACAACTTCATTTTTCAAGCACACTTTCAGCATTCCTTTGTGAGATATCCAACATGTGTTCCTTATAGAATTTTGAACATTAAAAAAATTACACATCTGTTTTGTTTTTATTAAATTAAGTGACATTAAATCAGTTCTCCTCAAAGTTAAAGGTTGTCTCATTGAGAGTATAAAAAAGAAAAGCACTGAGCTCTGGCAAGATGAGAGGAATGAGTCTCTCCCTCTGAGTCAGAGACCACCAGTGCTGGTCCTCCATCCCCTTCCTCCTGCTCTCTGAGTTCTCCTGGTGCAGAGTTCTGTCGGGTGAGGCGCTGCCAAGAGCCCAGATGTTTCTCTGCACGAAGATGGATGCGTGCATTGTCAAATCCAGAGAAGAAAGGGCTGTTGACAGCTGTGGGTTAAAAAGAAGAACAGAACACATGACACTGAAGAGTAAGCCTGGGGTTTGGGGTTTGGTTTCCAACTGTTTATTCTTCTCATCTGGATGCAGCTCTTGGGCGAGGCGAGTCAGTAGGAATAAAGCCAGGTTCCAAGTTGAAATGCATGACTATGGCCTTTGAAAATATCCAAATGTCTGGGGTCTCCCAGGCAGCGTGACCAAGCCTTAAGGAACAGACTTTTAACCACCAGCAATTAAAAAGCCTTTTAGGGAAAGCAAAGAGAGGGGCTGGAAAGAAGACTCACAGATGAGGAGCCGCACCCGTGTCGGGGCAGCTCACGACCACCCGAAACTTCAGCTTCGAGGAATCCCTCCTCATCTCCATGGACACTGCATTCATTCGTACTTCCATCCAAGAGTGTGAGGACGTGCAGTGGGCAGGCTGAGGCAGTTCCCATGAGTCCCATCCTGTCAGCACCTGGGGGATGAACACCATCAGCAGAGTCCCTGTGTCCTCCCTCCCCTCAGAAGAGAAGGGAAGGTCTGCAGGAAGGATGGGGTCCTTGCTCTTTGGTTGGATGCAACCCTGAGAGGCGAAGATGAGCAACTGCGGAGCAGCCCCTGCTGCTCAGTGATGAGTCTGACGCCCCTGAGATTCAGCGTTCTGACAGAATTAAGTAGACTGGCATTAAACTCAGCATGTCCCAGAACCATACTAGTTTTCTACATGCAGAGGGAGATGGGTGGAAAGAGTCAAATCTGGCATTTTATTATCTAAATATAAAGTAGGTGCTAAGTTCTAAAGGGCCATTAAAGAAGAGTTAACTGGTTTTTAACAAAAGTGAAACAAGAAGACTGGAAATTAAGTATTGATTCTCTTCTCTCGTGAACTGGTATGTTGGTGTCAAAGGCATTAGTTTTGTTTTATGGGAGAATTGAATCTTCTCTTGGATTTAATCTCCACAAATGTGCCAAGCCACCATATTTACACTGGTATGTAGGAGGTGGCTCCTACAGGCTCAGCTTTGGTGTGTGACACTGTGATCAGGAGACCCCGGGGTAAGAGGTTGTGTAGTATCTGCTGATGAATGAGCAAGCTGTTCATCTCCGTGCTCTTTAACCTGATCTGTAGAACCAGGAAACTTGGCAAATATTTGGGGTATCAAAACAATAAATAATTCTCTTTCTCTCTTCCCTCCCCACTCGTGTGTGTGTGTGTGTGTGTGTGTGTACATGCATGTCTGTGTGTGTGAAGGTGAGTGTGTATGAAGGAAGGTGTGTGTGTGTGTGTGTGTGTGTGTGTGTGTGTGCATGTGCATTCATGTCTGTGTGTGTGAAGGTGTGTGTGTGAAGGTGTGTGTGTGAAGGTGTGTGTGAAGGTGAGTGTGTGTGTGAAGGAAGGTGAGTGTGTGTGTGTGTGAAGGAAGGTGTGTGTGTGTGTGTGTGTGCGCATCTGCATGCATGTCTGTGTGTGTGAAGGTGTGTGTGTGTGCATCTGCATGCATGTCTGTGTGTGTGAAGGTGTGTGTGTGAAGGTGTGTATGAAGGTGAGTGTGTGTGTATGTGTGTGTGTGTATGTGTGCATCTGCATGCATGTCTGTGTGTGTGAAGGTGTGTATGAAGGTGAGTGTGTGTGTATGTGTGTGTGTGTGTGCATCTGCATGCATGTCTGTGTGTGTGTGAAGGAAGGTGTGTGTGTGTGTGTGTGTGTGTGTGTGTGTGTGTGTGTGTGCATCTGCATGCATGTCTGTGTGTCTGAAGGTGCATGTGGAGGCCAGGGGCCAACCTCAGCTGTCACTCCTCAGCATCCTCCATCTTGTGTTTGTGGGGTTTTGTTTATGTCTTTTGAAACAGGGTGTCTTACTGGCATATCTTCTTAATCACCAAATTATTTTTAAATTTTAAAAATGCAAACTGAAATATGTAAGTAATTGAAAATGTATTTGTGGTTTTAAGATGAGATGAATTCTTTTATTGTAGCTACTGTTTGGCTCAGGAAGTAGAACCAAACATTAGCATTGCTGATGTCTCCCACCTGTCTGGCCCCATTCCCCAGACATCAGGGGTCCCGTCCTCTGGATCCTCGTGCTGATCAGACCCTCACTTCCTTTGCAGCTTTCCCCGTCTCTGCACCCTGGCATGCATACATCTGTGTGCTGATGCACATGTCTCACTTTTGACTCTCTGTGAGGTGCCTTTCTTGCCTGGTGGCTGTTTACCTTGGCTTGTGACATCCGTCTGTCTAGGTCTTTGTAGCTTCAGTTGACTGATGGCTCACCACTGTGCACACTGGACGCTTTCCTCTTTCCTCTGTGGGTTAGCTCCTAGACCTTTCCAGAATGCTGGGATCATCACGTCCCCTGAACTGCACTGTGTCTGGGGTGTGAATCATCTCTCCATGTTTGTAGCTGTGTTAAGCAATCCCTCTGCATGCTTCCTCTCAAGTGGTGTCCACATCAAACATTGCTGTACCTCTACTGTGTCATGGACCCTCCCTGGACATTGACAAACTCTTTGAGCACGTGTATTGAGTTTTAAACAGCATATCACCGTGTTTTTAAGTTGTATATTTGCCTTTTGCTAGTGATATTGAATTTACTTTTAAATCTCTAATGAGCATTCAATTCTCATTGTTTTGTTCATTTCTCTGTAGAGCATTTGACATTTGTCCACTAATATATAGGTTTATCCCTTTTAAACTGTGAGCAACAGTGTGTAAACAGGAATGTATATTGTATACATAGTTACACATGTGTGTGAAGGAAACAGCAGAGTAATCATAAATAGTATATGAACAGAAATATGTAGGTCATACGCATTTAATTAAATAGATGCGCCAAGGAAACAGCAGAGTAAGTGTAACACAGGAAATACTCCTCTCTGAGGCCCTGCAAACCTGTCTCGAGCTCATCCGCTCTGGCTCCAGGGGGAGCCCTGACTGTTGTGAAAACCATTTCCTTGTTTTTCTTGGTACTTACCACCTGTGCAAATGCTTTAACCCGCCGAGACTGGTGGGTTCTTCTGAATGTAGACTGTGAACATGCTTTTGGGTTTGGGCTCAGATTGTATTTGTGAGACATAACATGATCTCTAACTCTGTCTTAAAGTGTCCAGGATTTGGGGTGATGGGGTCTGTCTTATTTTATTCCTACAACTTGGCATGTACCCCAAATCTATACTGGATTATCTGAGTTACAGTGTAAATAAACCCAAAGGAAGACAAGTCATCTAAATTCCCTTACATCTCCCCTATTAACCAATTCACAAACCTCTATATTAACCGTGGATTGGGACGAGGGGTCCCGAGTCCTCGCCGGCTGCTGTTCGGCATCAGTCAGTCTCCGCTTCCTTCCTTTCCCTGCTGCCGTATTTCTGAACATTTCATGTTTGGTTTAATCAGTAATTAGATTTAATATACCCATATTTCCCATCTATTACATCTAGTAGTGGTCAATCAATTCTTTTATATTTTTTTCTCCTCAATATTTAGAACCTAAATATGTGCCTTAGAAGAACTTGGGGAATTCTGGGCGCATGAAAATCTAAAATTAAGTTAAAAACCACAGGGCTTGATAAAAAAACGATTAGAACCCAGGAATGTTGCCAATTATATAAAGATAAACTACTTTTTAGAAAATATTATTCATTTTATGTGTATGTGTGTGTTGAGTGTTAGGTATGTGCACCATGTGCATCCAAGAGCTCGTGGGGGGAGTCAGATCCCCAGGAACTATGAGCCACCATGTGAGTGCTGGGAACTGAACCCAGGTCCTCTGTAAGAGCAGCAAGCACTCTTAACCCCCTGCGCTTGCTCTCCAACCCCAAGGCAAAGTAATTTTTAAAATCCTTACTGGTATCCACCTAGTTCTTATTCTCTGGCCTTTTGTCCCCAGGCTGTGTTCTGTTTAAATGAGCTGAACCTGACAACTTCTGAGAGTCTCCCCAGATGTGGACATGGAGTGCATGGGTGATTGTTAAAGCAAGAACACGCTCAAGGTCACACAGAGGATAGAGGTCAAGGGTTAAGGAAAGATATCAAAGGAAGAGGAGCCATGCATGATGCTTTAAAGGGGCAGAGAGAGACTTCCTACCAACAGATGCAGAATGGGAGAAAGTACAGTCTGTGAATTCCATGTGGTCCAGGGGTGCTGAAGCTCACAGGGCACTAGAGCAGGAAGCTGGAGCTCACAGGGCACTAGAGCAGGAAGCTGGAGCTCACAAGAGGCTGTTGAGGCAGCTGGACGCAGACCGGATGATGCTTATAGTTTGACAAGGGCTTTCACTGTTGTCTGTGAGCAGTGTAGAGCCATTAAACAATGGGATCATCACCAAATCTAGGTTCTAGAAGGAAAGGCTTCAAAACGTTGTGATATTTAGGCTGTCAGATCTGTATTTTTTAATGTTATTTATTTATGTGTTGGGGTCGTCTATGTGCACAAGTATGCAAGTTCTGAAAAGACCACAAGAGCGCATCAGATCCCCTGGAACTGGAGTTACAGGAGATTGTGAGCTGCCACGTGGGTACTGGGAACTGAACTCAGGTCCTCTCAAGAGCAGAAAGTGCTCTTAAATATTGAGCCATCTTTCCAGCCCTGAGTGAGGTGTACATTAAGTACTAGGGTTTATATATACTGAATAACAATAACCCAGAATAGCAGTGCTTTCAGGTTCAACAGAGCCTTTGAGACTCCATGATGTCACTGGCTCAGCTTCCTCATGGTTCTCATGAGTTGTCCCAACTGGTGTCTAGGGCGGTAAATCCACATGCTGGGCATCGAAACTAAGGAGAGAGAAGTTGAAGAAGATGAAGTGCACTCACTGGCTGTCTTTGTAAAAAGATACCCAAGAACTGCCACATGACCCTGTAGCACCCTCCTCAGGTGTGCACATACACCATAGACAGAAGTAAACAAACAAACAAACAAACAAACAAACAAACAAAACTTTAAAAACATCTGCTTTGAAACTCTTCATTCACTGGGGTTTCTTCCAAATATTTAGATTTTATGTACAAACAAAGTGTGATTCTAATACCCAAGTGGCAGTAGTTACTGCGCCCGCCCCTGCCCCAGATTCGGTCTCTCCATGTGTGAACCAAGAGCGCTGAGCTGGCTGACCTGGGGTCCAGCTGAGATCACTCAGCAGACCCTTTGCTTGTGCCAACCAACCTATGCCTCCCGGCTGCATGCCTTGCCAACAGAAGGAATATAATTGAGGCAACATCTTCAAGTTCGAGTAAACACAATCCATCTAATTGCTTCACAGCTTTTTCCTTGTCTGCCGAAACTTAGTTTAGTGTGGTCTGGTGGTATTAAACTTTGGCGAATTTACAGAGAATTTTGCTACAGTGGGGTGAGCTTTGCCAATTGCATTTCAAAATTATGTTAAAAGGTTTAATTTGGTGGGAGGAAGGAATGGCTCACTTCCTGCATCTGAATGCAGCTGAAGGTTATGGGCTGAGGCTGGGGTGCTCCACAAGTTAGACAGGACCCAGGGGTGCTGCCAGGTTTTAGAGACTCCCAAGGCCTTTTGAATAGCAGGCATTCTGCTGAGGGTCAGTCTTTTGGACAGACCATTAGACTCAGGATCCAGAGTGCCTTGCACAGCCGGGGAGTCCAGGGACAATTTACAGAACGTGTGTTTTGGGTCAAGTCATCCTTCTGGCCCGTGGTCTCTGCCAACAAATAGTGGTCACTGAAGTTCAAGCTCTTTAAAACCTGGCAGCTTAACTGAGAACCAACAGTGCCTTCAGCAGACGTAATCAATTTTCCTTGGAAAGTATCCTGGCCAGTATTTCTTTGGGCTAAAAAAAAGTTTAGGAATTTGATATGGGTGTAATATTTTAGAGTTGATAGCTAGCACAAAATTTTCATTTTTCAGCCAAGGAAAATACTCCTTGTTAAATAAGTATTAGATCCCAAGATATGGTAAAAATATACATTTTCCAGGTGTGCAAACAGAAACATAAATAATGATGGTAGGGTTAACTTTGAAGCCACAGTTATATGTTCCTCCCCAGCGCTGCCGGGTGTGGTTTTAAACCCCGCAGTCTTGGCAGACGATACCCCACATTTCAAAGTGCAAGTGTCTGTACTCTTCGCCAGAGCATTACACTTGGGCATACGTGCAGGGTGTGGGACCTGGAGTTTCAGCTGCAGCTGCTATCAAATGTCGAATACCAGATTAAGTTTACAAAGTACTCCCAAGTACATGGAATCTCCAAATCAGAAGCGACTTCTCAAAAGTCAAAATGTCACACATTTGCTTACCAAAAATCCAAGATGGGTGTGTGGGCAAAAGTGCACAGAGGACAGTCTGAGTGGCTGAATGGAGCTGTGTGTGGCGTTAAGGCTGCCCTTCCTAGCAGGGCAGTGGGTAAACAGGGAACCTCTCACACAGCTGTTTAGCGATTGTTTTACTTACAGATTGAGGAAAATCATGAACATGTTACATGTTGTGTCTGTGTGGACACATGTGTGCCTCTGCATGTGTGTATGTGCATATGTATGTGTGTGTGCACGTGAGTGTGCATGAGTGTGTGCATGTGAGTGTGTGTGTGTAAATTTCAGTTCTGTTCCCTCAGTTGCTTAGAAGTCAGTCGCTAGAGTCATCTTGTCTCTCTCTCTCTCACACTCCACTTTGATCTACCAAAAAATTCCACAGCCTTCCCTTCAGATGCTGCCCGGAGCCTGACCTCATTACCAGGTGGCTCTGTCTCTGCAGTGGCAAATGTCTCCTCTCCAGCCTCCCTGCTCTTTGCTCTTTCAGACTGTTTTCAATATAAATCCCAAGAGGTCCTCTTAGAAGGCAGAGCCTGTCACTCCTCAGACACACTCAGGCACACCCCTGCTTATCTCCCCCCTCACTCAGAGTGAAGGTGAAGCCTCCTGTGGACCGATAAGGCCTGGCATCAGCTCTCACTCATCTCTCAGCAGTCACTGGCCAGCATTGCTAGCCTCTTCACCAGACCCACCTGAGACCTCAGTGTGGTGTTCTCTCTGCCAGCAGAGGCCACAGTGCCAACCCAGGTATGAGCGTAAGGACACAACACTGCCGTTGATCAATAGGAATGAAGAAGATGACGAATCTGTAGCGTGTTCAACAATGAGACAGACAGGGCTTAGTGATAAGGAAGCAAGAAAGTTAAGAAGGAAAAAACAAAATCTGTGTCCCCATAGGAACTAAAGAGTCTAAAAAATATTTTGTTATACCATTTAATTAACTAATTGTGTAAAAGAATTGTTTTAGATCAGTGTGCATTTAAAGTTAGCATTCCAGGGCTATAGAGATTGCTTAGCTTAACAAAGAGTGATTACTGCTCTTGCACAGGTCCCAAGTTCAGTTCCCAGGACACATCTCAGGTGGTTCACAACTGCCTATAGCTGCAGCTCCAACAGATCCAATGGCTCTGTACTCCACAGGAGGCACACATACTGAATGTGCACATTTCCATGTGTGCACACACACTTAATAAAATACATCTTTAGAAAGTCAGCATTTCACACTGGACCTCACTCTAAATATTATAATTATAGGTAATTATGTAAATTAAATAAAGCTGTTTCTCATCCAACTGTGCTTGTAGCATGCTGACATAGAGAACCACCTTAAATACCTCATGTGGATTGCTGTGCTTTGTGAGACACTTCCTGAGATGTGCTGAGAACCAGTGCAGCGGAGAATGAAAACCTGCCTTGGACATGCTGAGATCCCAGGAAGTCCTTGAAGACCATGAATACTTCTCTTTGGTTCATACCTACTTCCTAGTACTTGACAAAGTATTCTTTGTTACAGAGCCCAAGTGCCTTATTGGTTCTTTATTGACTTCTGAGAAGGATCATTATTTCCAGTTGATTTTCTTTGTGTGGATGAATAGGTATGAACATTACAGTTGAGTTCATTGCTGAACTGTAGAATGAACTCAAAGTCAACCTTGGACCTTGTGTTGACCACAGCCTGTTGACTCTTACCAGCAGAGTGGGCTACATAGGTCTGCAGGGAACACGAAGCAGACAGACTGATGTGGAAAGGAAGAGGAACCACAGCAAGGTCTTGCCTGGAATCTCCATGTCACAGGCATCCTGGTTAGGTTCCCATGGGGTTACCAGAGAACCTTCCTGTCCCTCAGTAAGGAAATGCATCATACTTTCCCTGCCCTTGATTTCACAATATTATTGTAGGCAGAGGTAGATTTGAACCAATCTACCTATATCTAGTTATAGTCAGAAATAGTATTCAAAGTACTCAATACTGTACTAAACAAGCACCACCCAGTCCAAACAGGCCCTGGCTGTGTACACGGGCACAGCCCAAGTGCAGGTTGACTGAATTGTCAGCTTTTCGGCACACAGCTACAGGGAGGGGGTGGAAGGCAGGCACAGGAGTGGCCTGCTGTCTGAGTCAGGGTCACTGCAGCTGTGATGAAACCCCATGACCAAAGCAGCTGAGGCAGGACAGGGCTTATTCCACATATTCACCCACATCACAGTTCATCATCAGAGTAAGTCAGAAACTCAAGCAGGGCAGGAACCTGGAGGCAGGAGCTGATGCAGAGGCCCCAGAGGGGTGCTGCTTACTGGCTTGTTCCCCATGGTTTGCTCAGCCTGCTTTCTTATAGAGCCCAGGACCAGCAGCCCAGGGATGGCTCCACCCACCATGGTCTGGGCCCTCCAACATCAGTCATTAACTAAGGAAATGCCTTACAGGCTTGCCTACAGCCAGATCTTATGGATGCATTTTCTCAATTGAGATTCCCTCCTATCAAATGACTTCAGCTTGGGTCAAGTTGACATAAAACTAACCAGGACACCCATTGTGGTTAGACCACTGGGATCTGAAGAGGGACATCTTGACATGATGAAGTCCCTTGAGCCAGGTCAGAAAGCATGGAAGACACACTAGGCAGTTTTCCTTCACTCTCTGGGCATCAGAGAACTCCTTGAGCAGTTCTCTGTGCTTGAGATCCAAGAGAACAGAAGAACTGTTTGGACTACACACATAGCTGGCTGAAATCATCAAGGAGAAGAAAGAATCCAAACAGAATCTGAAGCTCTTGGCTTGGAAAGCCTTTTGGATTTACCAAAAGTATGAACAGATGGAGACAGCATCCTCAGGATGTTTGGGAAGTGAGATAATGAGCTTGGGTTGAGGCACAGTGCGTCATGCAGAACACCCAGATGGAGAAGTCAAGCAGGCAAGTGGAAATGCTTAAGATGACTAAGAGAATGTGGCCTGTGTAGTGAGATCAGTGGTGCACGTGTGTGTGTGTGTGTGTGTGTGTGTGTGTGCGCGCGCGCGCGCGCGCGCGCGCATGAATGGACCACTTTCTGCTGTCTCTTGTGAGATGGGAACAGGAGGGCAGCTGAGCATGTGGATAGCCAGGAGACAAACAAGACAAGAAGCCTTGGCATCAGCTGGTAGGAGGTTGAGTCCCCAGGTCCTGGAGGAAGTTGTTTCCCATGTCACTACACCCACCATTTGATGAATGGGATTGACAGGACAGTGGCACCAGCTGAGACTCTGGTGATTTCCTAGTTGGGCTTTAAGGACAGGGAACTGGCCTGTCCTGAACACAAAGAGGCTCCTCCCCTGGGCTGCTTGAAGACCTGTCTTGATGGAAATGGCCTGTTGTGTTCACTCTGAGATGATATTTCTCCACAATTTCACCTTCTGCAATTGGATGCACTGTGCACTTAGGGCCATCTCAGGATGTCAGTGCTGACCTGAGTTCAATGCCACAGAAAAAGCATTCTCTTCTAACAGTTCTTGAAGGGAGGCCACTTTAAAGCCAGCTCCCCCCTGGTTACCTGTCAACACACTGCTGGTTGTATTCAGAGTCCATGCCTGTTTGAACAATGGCCTGAGGTTCAAAATATTGGCAGTGGTGGGGTGGGGAGTGGGGAGTGGGCATGGGGAAGGGGAGGGGTGTCTTTTCTCTCACTTAGAGCTAATATTGACAAATGCAAGTTGTCTCTTTATGAGGGTCGAGGGTCCTGGGTCCTGGCTTTGTGTCAAATCCTCTGTGAACCTCGTGATTGAGACTCTTTTCTGAGTAGATGATAAACAGCAGTGATGATTCAGGGCGGGGAGACGGCTCGGTCAGTAAACCACCCACCAGCAAGCAGGAGACCAGAGCCGGATCCCAGAGCACAGCTGAAGTGCTGTCACACACTGTGAGTCCCAGCACTGACACACACTGTGAGTCCCAGCTATGGTCCCTGGGGACCACTGGGTTCTCAGAAAAAAAAAAGATGTGGGTGGTACCTGAAGAATGAGCCTTGAGGTTGATCCCTGGCCTCCACATAGGAAAGCACACATGTGCATGTAGGGCTGTACACACAAGTATGCTACCCTGCACAATGTGCGCGCGCGCGTGCGCACGCGCGCGCGCACACACACACACACACACACACACACACACACACACACACACACCACATGGCCAAAGGGATGCAAGAAATTCTCTGTTAGAACTGAAACAGTCCCCTGGAGACAAGTCTCTCTCCCTTGATTCTGAGCCACTGTGTTGCCTTCTCCATGTCTCTGCCAATCCTTCAGAGCCTGCCGGCCCTCTTGAGGACTGTCAGATAACCCTTCAGACAGTGGTGCACTCTGGCATGTCTAGATATAATAGGATTTCTTAATTTGTAATTCCACCAAGATGCAATTTGTGAATGAGAGTGTGATGACGCTGTGATTACCACTGTGGAGAGCTTGGTTTTCCTTCGGCAAACACAGCGTGTCTGTTCTGGATATGGGAAGGATCATGTCCCAAGGTGTTTGCAGACTCAGGATCTACCATGATGGCATGAAGAGATAAAACTGAGCTGTGTAGACCACAGAAGCTGATACTGCCGGGGGTGAGAAAGAGAAATGAGTCGTTTCTGCTTTTAGGAAAATCAGAAAGCAATGGATGGAAAAGACAGGCAATAATTATTTATTTGCTGCACTATTTACTGGACAAGAGAAAACACAAGGTGCAACAGAACCCACTATAAGAGTTTTATTAGGGAGGGAAAGGGGGGACATGCAAATAGGCCTACCAGAAATGAAAGTGCAGAGAGGGTCAGAGAGAAGGTGGAGCCTGCTTTACGGGTCCCTTCATGTAAAAAGGAGCTGCCACCTGTGCACCAGGTATGAGTGGCCTGAGGCAGTGTGCCCTCCTGTATGTGTGAAGGGTGGAGCAATAGTTCCTCTAGGGTTTCAGTGCAGGAATGAAATGGGGAATAGTCAGCATTAGATCAAGGGAGGAGGCTTGAAATACTAGGGAGTGGGCAAGTCTGCAAGTTAAATGTGGTACCTTCCAGTAATGCCACTTGAAGAGAAAGAACTAGGAGAGGAGGTAAAGTTTGTAAGTCTTTCTAAGTTAAGAGATGGGACAGGTTGTGGTGGGAGAAGATGGTGGTGGGTGACCCTGAGGTTAGTTTCTTTGATTCATGAATGAGGAGCTCAGCAGCTGCTAAGGCCCGGATGCAGGGTGCCCTCCCGGAGTGGTGAGGTCTAGTTCTTTGACAGGTAGGCTACAGGGGCAAAGGAGGGTCCCAGCTGGTGCCCTAGAGTCCCAAGCCCAGATCCCTCTCTTTCTGTTCCATAGAGGGAGAAGGGACAGGTTAGGTCTGGAGGGTGAAGTGCTGGTCCTGGAGGAGAGCCTGTCGGAGCTTCTGGAAGGGTTTGGTAATGGCGTGAAGGAGGGGTTCATGCGGGAAGCCCAGAGCTGCCTCATATACGGGGTGAGCAAGGAGAGAAAAAGATGGAACCCAGGACCGTAGGAAGCCAGATTAGCTATTCCCAGAAAGGACAGAATCTCCTGTTTAGTAGAGGGGACTGGATTAGATGCTTTCTATCTACAGTAATAGCCTTGTGGGTTGGGGTAATGGTTAGACCCAAATAGGTGACTTGAACCTTGGAAGGCAAGACTCTATAACCCCAGCTGGACAAGAAATTTAGGAGAGCAGAGGTGTTAGTTTGGCTAACTTGTAATGACAGGCTGCAGAGTAGAATGTCATCTATGTACTGTATGTGTTTAGAGTCAGGGAGAGACAAAGAGAGCAAGTCAGAGGTGAGGGCCTGACCATACAGGTGTGGGCTGTCTCTGAATCCCTGTGGCAAAACAGTCCAGGTCAGCTGCATGGACAGGGGAGTGTCAGGGTCAGTCTAGATAGAGGCAAAGGTATTTTCAGACTGAGGGCTGAGAGGAATAGAGAAGAAAGCATCCTTGAGATCCAGAACTGAGAAATGGGAGGCTCCTGAAGGGATAATGGAAAGGAGTGTATAAGGATTGGGGACCACAGGATAGAGGGGGACCACTGCAAAATTAATGAGTCAGAGGTCTTGAACCAGGTGATAGGTTCCATTAGCCTTCTTAACTGCAAGAATAGGGGTGTTAAAAGGAGAAGATGTTGGGCGAAGTAGCTTTGTTCTGAGAAGGTTAGAGATGATAGGCTTAAGTCCCCTAAGGCTCTGGAGTGAGAGAGGGTACTGAGCTTGGGTGATGTACCAGGGAAGGTCCTGCAACTGGATAACAATAGGGGAATGGTGTAGCTAGAGTTTTCCTGCTTTGCCCACAGTCAGGACAAATCTTTGTCACCCGCCAGTCCCACAGCCGCTCAGACCCAACCAAGTAAAAACAGAGACTTATATTGCTTACAAACTGTATGGCTGTGGCAGGCTTCTTGCTAACTGTTCTTATATCTTAAATTAATCCATTTCTACAAATCTATACCTTGCCACATGGCTCGTGGCTTACCGGCATCTTTTCATGCTCCTTGTCCTGGTGGTGGCTGGCAGTGACTCCTTCTGCCTTCCTGTTCTTTTATTTCTCCTCTCTGTTAGTCCCGCCTATACTTCCTGCCTAGCCATGGCCAATCAGGTTTTATTTATTGACCAATCAGAGCAACTTGACATACAGACCATCCTCCAGCACAGCCAAGTGCAGACCATCTCAGACACCTGCACTCAGGCCCGTGGTCCTAATCATCCTCTATGTGGACCTGCTGGGTAAAGCCACAAGGAACCCAAGAACAGGCTCCCACAGGACATACAGAGCATCCCACAGCAGAATGGTGCCTAGCTATAGAAGGGTTGTGGGTGGCCCAGACTTTGGGGTCCACCTGAGAGTCTGGCAAGGGAGATGACATGTTAGAGCTAGTGGGGTGGGTGGCTAGGAGGAGGAGGAGAGGGGCTGCTGGAAAGTCTGGGGTCAGGCAAATGGGGGGAGCAAATGAAATAGAAGCTCCTACCTTGGCTAAAAAAAATCTCTTCCCATTAAGGGCACAGGACAAGTTGGCATGACCAAAAATGTGTGGGTAAGAGGGATGACCCTGAAAATACAATTAAGTGGTAGGGCCTGATGGGGTAAGTAAGGCTGTCTGCCTATCCTGACGATAGGGAGATAAGAAGAGGTGGGACCCCAAAACTCCCTCAGGACCGAGTAAGTGGCCCAGTGTCCAAAAGGAAGGAAATGGATCACCCTGATACTATAATGGCTACCCTAGGTTCCCTGTGGGAGATGGCTGTTGTTGGGCCAGGAACAGGGCACCTTCAACGTCCATTGCCAAGCCTAGGAGATCAGCTGGAGGGTGGTCTGCACTTGATGTCCCCATGCCATGAGGTGCCCAGGGGCAGTCAACTGACCAGTGTTCCTCTTGGTGGCACTTTGGACAGGGCCCAGGTGGCCCGCACATGGCAGGGTACATACAAGACCAACAGCCTTCTTGACCACATTTAAAGCAGGGACCTGGGGGCCCTCAGGCAGTCAATTGGATATCCTGTGCCAGCATTTAGCAGTTCTGTTTACGGTCTTTCTCATCTCCCCCATGGTTCACCTTGAAAGCCAATGCTAAGACTTCTGCCTGTGGGGTCAGGGGCCCTCTCTCCAGATGCTTAAGTTTGGCCTTAATGTTGGGGAAACTCTTGGAGACAAAATGGGTCATAAGGAGCTGTCTGCCTTCTGGGCTCTTGGAACTAGGTTAGCACATTGCAAAAGGGCCTTTGTAAGTCTTTCTAGAAATTAAGATGGATTCTCTTTTTTTGTCCTGAACTATCTCTTGAAGCTTTTTTATAGTTTACTGGTTTGAGGGCAGCCTTGCAAAGACCTTCTAGGAGGCAGGTCATGAACTGATCCCTAGCTAGAGTGCCACCTAGGTCCTGGTTGGGAACCACTTCTGCTCTGGGAGGATGTACTGCATTAGTCTGGTGGACCTCATACCCATGCATCCTAGCCTGTTCTCAAACTCATCTGTGCTCCTCAGGAAGTAAGGATCATGTATATATCATGAAAGGTGAAACTCTAGGGTTGGGTAATATATTGTAATTGTTTAATAAAGGAAGTAGAGTTGGATGTAAAAGAACCTAGTTTTTTTCAATCTGAGAGAGTTCAGCCAGTGAGAAAGGGACATGTACCTTAACCAGTAGATCCACCCCGGCTACCTCTCGCAAAGGGAGGGTGGTTGCCAGGTGGGTTTGACTGGAGTGGGGTTCCTCAGCAGCTCAAGAGTGTGTGACAGGAGGAGTAGAGGTGGGAGCCAGAGTCGGGTAGTTGGAGCGGCCTGGTACTGGAGAGGAAGAGGGGCCGTCGGAGGGGAGGAAGGAGCTGAAGGAGCTGAAGGAGCAGTTGCTTGAGGAGAAGGAGTGGGAGGTCGGAAAGGCGGGGGTTCACTAGCAGGGTCCAGAGCAGCAGTGCGGGGTTCCTCTGGTTCCGGGTGCACAGCGAGGAGCACGTGGGCAGGTGAGAGGAGTCAAGGAGAGCGGGTTTGGAGCTCAGCGAGCAAAAGGCCTGGATACGAGGTAACTCTTCCATCTGCCTGTGCGCTGACAGAGTTAGATAACTCCAGTAAAATATTGGGGTCTAATGAGCCAATAGGTAGCCATTTTCATTGTTACCTAAGAGATATTTAGGCCATTTTTTTTTAGTGCAGAGGTGGATAAGCTTAGAAGTCTTTAAGTAAGGCATTGGGCTGAGAGGTTTGAGGGTTTCCAAAAGGCATCCCAGAGAAGATGTGGGGTATACAGGATTGGAAGCCTTGTTTCCTAAGCCTGCTGCAGAGAGAAAAAAAATAAAAAATTAAAAAATAAATGAAATCCAATAGCTATAATATCTCAGGTGTTCCAGAGATTAAGCGAGGATTGATAATGGCATAAGTCACTCAGTGTTCTGTCAAGCAAAGAGCGAGGGCCGAGGTGGTGGCCCAAGTATGAGGGCCTGAGAGAGATGAGAAATGAATGAAACCGAGGCCTCAGACCACAGTCGTGGGGAATCACCGGGGGTGACAGCGATGGGGGCCAACCATAGCCACTAATGACCATGGACAGGGGTGCCCCTAGTTCTAAGGACACCAGAGGGACACTGGATGATTGATGGTCATTCCTGCAGGTCCAAGGACCTGTTTATGCCGACTGGTTAAGGGAAAACTCACCAATTGAAGTAGCTGGTTTTGTGCAGTGATCGGCAGCCTGGCAGATGGAAAGTGGGCAGTTGTGGATGAACCAACCTGGGTCAGGATCACGGGCAGGGTGCTGGAGAGCCTGCTCTGTCACGGAACCAATGTTATCTAGTGCATCCCGTTGTCACCTGTGTTTTCTCTCTCCCGGTAAATAGTGCCACAAATAAATAACAATAATGGTATTACTATTAATAATAAAACTAGAACCACCATTTAAGGCACTGTTCACATTATTTAATCCTCATTCTGTTTTGTGGTGTGAAAGCTGGGGATTAGTCAGCTAATAGGACCTTACCTATCATGGCCACCTGAAGCTGTAATGACTAGTTATCTGAGCAGGAAGCAGACAGGGAGAGGAGGCTGGGATGTGGCCCCTCACTGCCTGGCTGTGTTTCCACTCAGGTCTTACTTGGGCTCTATCCACTCCTAAATTTACACCTGAAGCCATGAGTACAGGCTTCTGATACCTCCTTACTCTTTCAGTCCAGGGTCTATGAACAAGGTTTGAGCAAACTACATGAAACTTTAATCTCCCAACAAAATGGTTCTCCATGGCCTCCTTTGACAACTTCAGACAGGTCCTTGCTGGATGCTGACTGAGGTAAAATAGCATCCACATTTGAGGTTGAATTTCACATGGACAGTGCAGGAATGAAGTGATCCTGTACATTCCTAACTAGTAAGATACCGTACAATGGGAGTCCATACTGTGTGCATGCAGATAGGAAACTCTATGTCAAACTCTGAATCCGAGGTAATAGCACGTCATATTATGTCATAATCCTCAGTTTCATGTTGCCCATATGCATAGCCCTCGGCCATACAAAATATCTCACTCATATCACCAATTTAATAAAGCCCACTTCCCTGCTGTACAAACACTCTCCACCAGTGACAGCTGAGGACTTTAACATATGAAACCGGATCTTTGTTCTTGTCAGTGCTTTCAAAATTGTGCTTATGAAAATATTTGCTTAATATTTTAAATAGTAGAAATGGAATTTTGCCACATTTAATTTTTGCTTCATTAGAATAAGCATGAGATGTGGAACCTTCTTTTGGTTTTGAGTCAGCATCTCTTTACTTAGCCCTTGCCTAGTACTCTCCATACAGACCACACTGACATTGAGCTCAAAATCCTGCTGTCTCTGCATCCCAAATTCGAATATTACAAGTGAAGCTCAGTTTCATCTATTTTATCCCATATCTGCTCTATAGGGCTCCAGTCCCCATACCAAGTTCTGGAATTTTTCACTATGGGGCTAAGTCCAAAGATAACTGGAAGAAAGAATGATAACAGGAGAAAAGAATGATCTTAGAGCAGAGGAGAAAACAGCAGGGTAGAACTGGTTTGGGAATGGATAGGCTTTGTGCCCATCACCACCAAAGGATCCAGGAATACATCAGACAGGAGTCAGACTGGGAACAAGAGCAGTGACAAGAACTTCAGAGCAAACAGGAGACCAACTCCTACTTCATCCACTGGCCAGTGCCACTGGACAAGGTTCACCTAGGTCACTGTCCATGTTATCACTTAGAGCAGGGGTGCTCCCATCTTGCAGAGTTATGGTGACAGACCCAGGCTCAGGTCATCTTCCCAGCTCTTGCTTAACCATGTCCTTCCTGAGATAGGGACAGTGGCAATGGAGAGACTTTCAGGAATCTCTACAGCCTGATGGGTCCTCCCTTTTCCAAAACAGTGAGTGACCAACCTGTGCAGGGCATATGTGTTCCCTCTCAATAACCAAGGGTTATTTCCTGTGGAGTTGTGGTATGCATTAAAGGTATGCAAAACTAGTTGCATTTATATGTAATGTGGAGACTCAAGTAATAATCATTTATTTTCTACAAGTATGACTATCTGGCATATCAGGTGGTATGTGGGAAAATCCTTTGCCAAGCAGGTTGTAGTGAGTCTAGTATTTCTGGCTCCTGTCTAGTAAAAGCCACCCCTACACACACGTATGCACACACACATACACACACACACACACACACACACACACGAATCTCAGCTCCTACATCTGTACTCTAATACAGAACTCTCGTTGTGGTCCACTTTGTCCTTGTTCAGAACCACTGGGTTTGCCCCAGCAGCAGCAAAGGAGGAAATTTTTTATTGCAGTAACTTAGGCAAGGGGATAAGGAAAGTCCACTGCATGGGAAGCAGATGCAGAGCCATTTAAAGCTTTCAGAAGCTAGTCTCGGCTAATAAAAGTGTCCCTAGAACTATGAAAATATGAACAGAACCTCTGATAGGACAAATGAGGTCACATAGACTTCATGAGAACATGTGACCACTGAGAAACCACAGGCCTTGGTGGAGGTGGGAAACCAGGAAATGACAACTCTGTGTTCCGCTCCTTCCATGAACCTCCCAGTGAGACTGTGTGTTAATAATTTCTTGTACTCTAATAAAACTTTTCTGAAGATCAGGGGACAGAGCCAGCCACAGAGTTAAACATAGAGGTCAGACAGTGGTGGCACACACCTTTAATCCTAGCACTCGGGAGGCAGAGATCCATCTGGATCTCTGTGAGTTCAAAGCCACTCTGGACTACATGAGATTGATTCAGTCTAGGAGAGAAACAGAGCCAGGCAGTGGTGGCACAAACCTTTAATCCCTGCACTTGAGATCTCATGCCTTTGCTACCAGTATTTGGGAAGCACACAGGCCATTAATTCCAGCACTAGGAAGGAAGTGATGGCTGAGTGGAAAAAGGCATATTAAGGTGTGAGGAGACAGGAACTAGAGCCCCTTTTGGCTGAGGACTCAGAGGAATTCAGTCAGAGGATTCATGGAGATAGGCTCTCACCTTCCATTCAGCCTGAGGATTCGGCAGTGGTAACAAGTTTCTTTAGTGGTTTGTTCCTTTGTCTCTCTGATCTTTCAGCATTTACCCCAATGTCTAGCTCCAGGTTTTTTATTATAAGACAATTTAGGAATTCGTGCGACATATGGTGCCCAATATGTGGCATGAATTCAAAGCCTCTTCCCTGTGGCTTTGCAGCCACCAGCTCAGGCCGTAGCTACACGTGATCGGAGTCTCCACCCTGCCATCTAAGTTTCTGTTGCAGTCTCGTTGCAACAAAGTCTATAGGTTTCAGGGCTCCAAAAACCACAGGAGTTAGCCACTTTGGCACAGTCCTCTGTGTAGAGAGCTGACTCCACAGGCCCGGGCCCAGGCTCCAAACACGCCAGCATTATCTGCTTTCCCACATTCCCCTGTAACACAAATTGCTAAATGGTCTCATTAATAAACCCAGAGCCATATATTGGGTGAAAGCTGAGAGATCAGAGAAACAGAGCAAGCCACAGCCACCACCTGTTACTTCACCAACTCCACAAATCCTCAGACTGAAAGTCTCTGAGTCCTCACCCCTGAGGGTCTCAGTTGGACTGCTGCTTAGTTTCTGTCTCCTCAAGCCTTATATACCGTTCTCCACCCAGCCATTTCACTTCCTAGGATTAAAGGTGTGTGTGCTTCCCAAGCAAAGACATGAAATCTCAAGTGCTGAGATTAAAGGTGTATGCTGCCACTTCCTGACTCTGTTTCCAGTGTGGCCTTGAACTGACAGACATCCAGACGGATCTCTGCCTCCCAAGTGGTAGGATTAAAGGTGTGTGTCACCACTGTCTGGCCTCTATGCCTAATCTAGTGGCTGGCTATGTCCTCTGATCTCCCAGATGAGTTTATTGGGGACACACTATATCGCCACGTCGTCGTCCCGTCCGTCCCCCCCCCCCTGCAGACAGCTGGCTCTCTAGATTTTTCCTTTTGCTTTCCTCAGGCACCCTTCTCAGGCTGCTAACACATCATCATCTGAATCATCATTGCCAGCAGATTTCGTGAGTTAACTGGGATTTCTTAAAGGGGGGATTAGTTTTTTTAAAAAGTCAGAGAATTACTCTTTCCCACATTAAAAAATGGGAAACATTTTTTACCATGGAGGGAGTTTGGTCTCTGTTTGATAATGAAAGACCCCCACTCCATTATGAGGACATGGGGCGTTGGGCCGATGTAATGCCCCCCCCCAATAACTTAGCCTAAGAAACGCCATTCTGAAGGAATCAGAAAAACAGGAGTTCACAGCTGTGACTAACTAGCCATCCGGCCTTGGGAGAGAGAGATAACTGTGGCCAGCCATCCGGCCTAAGATAGGAGATAATTGGGTCAGCGGCCTTGGGAGAAAGACAGTTGAGTTATATCAGGATATTTTATGGCGGGCCCCTGGCCTTGAGGAACAAGCGGCTGGGCTGGAAAAACACCCACTATACGCTGTACAAGGCCGAGTCAGCCACACATCAAACTTCTGATAATTAAAGAACGCGACCCCAAGTTCACCCTGGCCTTCTGTAAAACAGCCAATAGGGACCCTGTAACTATGCTTCTCGCTTCTGTAACCAAGCCTCTGCCCCTGAAATCCCATAAAAAGTCCCCTTTGCCCTAGGTAAGGGCGCAAGTCCTCCGAGAGACTTGGCCCCGGGTACCTGTGCATCTAATAAACCCTCTTGCTGTTTGCATCTGATCTGTGGTTTCGGTGTGTTCCTTGGGTTTGGGGTCTCTCCCGGAGGAAGATCTCCCCTGGGGGTCTTTCAATAATATGATTGACATTCTGAAAATGGAACAATTAAATGAGAGGATAATTAATTTAGATGGGACTTATGTAATGTCAATTATAAATATTATTTGTTTGATAATTTTTGTTTTATCATTTAAAAAGTTGATCAATATGAGTGCCAAGATAAGTTTTAGAAAAATTTGTTAAAACAGATCATAGAGATATTCAAGCCCAGACAGAGGAATTTAAAGGAGAACCAAATCTCAGAATTGCATTATAAGATAACAGAGAAACAGCCTAAGGCTTTCAAACAGCCAACTTGAATCTATCTAGTAACCTTACAGGAACTACCCAGTGATAGATATCCTCAAGGCTGTGTAAGAGCTGACTGAACTCCTGTGCAAATGTTAGATTTGAGGAGATTCCAAGAAGCTATAGTCTCATATGGTATGACTTCACCTTTTGTGAAGCACATGTTAAACTTGTGGTCATCTTGTAATAGTATTAACCCTCAAGACTGGAGAGATTTGGTTACAGCAGTCTTAGGGGCTGGTCCCCAATTACAATGGAGGACCTGGTGGAAGGATGTGTCTAAGACCACTGAACAATGAAGTAGGGCTAGAGGTATGGAAATCTCCTGAGATCAACTTCTTGGAAAAGGCAATTATGCTGATATACAAAGACAATCTTTACATGATGACCACACAATAGCGTTATGCTGCATGGCAGCCTTGAATGCTTGGGACAGAATTGTAGAAGTAGGAAAGAAAATTGAGTCATTTACAAAAGTTTGATGGCCAAAAAGAAACCTTCACTGATTTATTACAGAGACTTACTTCAGCAGTAAATAGAATGATACCAAAGTCAGAAGCCAGACAAATAATTATTGAACATTTTGAAAATGTTAATGCACAGTACAAATGGGTAATTAGGCCGTTAAAGGCAAGATCAGCACCCTTGGAGGAGTGGATCCAAGATAAAATTTATATTGAATCTCATGACCATGATGATGCTTGGATAGGAGAGCTGATTTGCAGAGGTTTGAAGAAAAATAGTAATGTCAGATGTTTCAATTGTGGTAAACAAGGTCACCTAACATGGGACTGTAAACAAGGCTTTCCTTGAAACAATGTTTCTTCTGTTATACAATAGGCCCATGGTGTTTACAGGGAAGTGGGCTTCATCTTTGAGATGGAGAAAATGTAACCAAATGTTTACTGCCCTTTAGCTTCCCTTCCTTCTTCAGTTTGTTCACAATTATTTTACCATTATTTTCTTTTATTTAAATATTGCTTAATCATTCCAGATGGGGAGCATGTTCACATCTAAATTTGAGCATGTGTTATCATCCCAGGGAACTAAGCATTGCTAATTTTTAGCACCTCACTACTGTAGTGATATTTGCTCTGCCATGATCTTGGGCCATACAGCCTGACTGAGGTGGTGCTTCTTGCTGTCATACGTGACCTCTTAAAAGGAAAGGGAGAGGGGTCATGAGGTCCCTTGTTCCTGGTTCCTGCTTCCTGAAGTGATCGAACTGGCAGGTGGATTCACTCTGGGTCAGTTCTGTATTTGTGAGTGTATTTTCTAATTTATATCTTAATAAATCTCTATTACCCACTAAATAGACTCATGTAGTTGATCATAACACACTACAGTCACATAGTAGATGTTTGTTGATTACTTCTGAGTGAATTCACTCATTCATGTAGCATGAATCTTAAAAGTTCTTATTAATAACATCAAACCTGAGCCAGGTATTGGGGTGAACTGGAAGATCAGAGAACCAGAACAGGCCACAGCTAACCTCACCTGGCCAACTTCTCAGCTGGTCTTGTTTCCTCAGACTGGAGGCCTCTGAGTCCTCATCCAGAATGGGTCTCAGCTGAATTGCTTCTCAAAAGCCTGAATGCTTAACCAGGCCAAATGCTCAACCAGGCCAAATGTTTCTAGTTTCTGGTGCTCACACCTTATATATCTTTTTGCGTTCTGTCTCACTCCCTGGGATTAAAGGCTCGGTTTCTGGGATTAAAGGCGTGAGTCACTATGCTTGGCTGTATCCTTGAACAGATGAATTTCTGCCTCTGGAATGCTAGGATTAAAGGCATGTGCTACCACTGCCTAACCTTTATGCTTAATTTTATGGCTGTTCTGTCTCTGACCCCAGATAAGTTTATTAGGGTATACAATATTTTGGGGAACACAATACCACCACACTTCACCACCATCAATTATAATCTTTTTGATGTATAGGAGCCTATAACTTCATATCTGGGCATCACAATCTCCTGCCCCCACTGTCTGTCATGGAGCATGAAGTGTGGATGTCCTACACAGAGAGGAAATGAAATTAGGATTTTCCTCACTTATGGTCTTGGTGTAACGGAGGATTTTGGTTGTTACCTGGCCATGGTTATCCCCACTAACAGCCTGCTTTGTGCCTTAAAATTACCTTTTCTATTCCTGTCCCAGGTGTTTTCTGTCAGTCAGCGTCTTTGTCAGAGAGAGGGAGAAGGAAGAGTGGGGGAATCAGGAGGAAAGACAAGAGCTGTAATAGGTTCTCTCCAGCATTTATATACTGACCTGGGTCCTCAGAAACCTACAGCAGGACATCAAACATTTCAGTGTCTGGGAGGAGACATGGCCCTTAAAAGAAGGTTACATTATTTAGGGTCACAAACTTCAGGGCAGGTGTGACAAGTTCAGCACACTGGAAGCTCTGCCACCATGGAGACGTGAGCTCATGGTTCTAAGAGGCAGTGGTGTCCAGATGTGAGGCTTTTGTCATAAAGACTGCTTTCCTGGGTTACGGCTGCCCCCGCCCTCTGAACTGCTTCCTCTGTGGTTTGTCTCAGATTCTCAGCCAATATAAATATTGGCTGTGTTGGCACTTTCATTTTGCAGGAGAAATTTCTTCTTAGTGACAGTGTGGCAAAGGAGTCATTAAATTTGATAAATTGAAAATAGTTGGATTGGCAGGTAAGGTCACTTTAAAAAGAAAGTCTCCCTTGAACGCAGCTGTGGTCACAACCTGATTCCATGATCTGTTGCCTAGGAAAGAAAACAGACACCTCTGCTGGCCAAGATGAGGGACGCTCCGGAGGCCCTGACCAGTGACACCAACGTCAGCAAGCACAAGAATAAAATGCAGAAGGAAGAGATGTAAGGATGGCATGATGGGCCAGCGGGGTCTGGTTCAGAGGGACGGTGGTGAAATATAGACATCGGTGTCTGAAGACAACCTGGAGGGCGGGCACTGGCGAGACAGCTCAGCAGGCAGCAGTGTCTGCGTGCAAGCCTGCCGACTTGAGTCGGATCCCCAGAACCTGCGCGGTGGACGGAGGGAACAACTCCAGAGTAGCCGTCTGACCTCCTGACGCATACCGTGACACACACGCACACTGCACCCCCACCTCTCTCCCTGCAGGAAGTCATTAGAACTACAGATTCCATGAGTTTCCTAAATATGGGGGGCCACAGATTTCGCTATTCTGTTCTCTAAGGTCCTGGCCCCTGAGCAGTATAAAAACTCCCCTAGACAGAACTCTTCCATAAAACCCTGGGTTAGAATTCACAGCTCCCATAATGGGCCAAGGCCATGAACTGAAAAGCCTGAGTAGAGCCAGTGTAGAGGTTTGGTGTGTTCCCAGCACCCTGGAGACTGAGGAAGGAAGCCTGGGTTGTGGCTTGAGATACTCAAAACATAAAAACTGTAGCACAGAATACCAACAACAAAATGTATGTGAGGAACATTAAAACACTACTAGAATTCAGTCACGGAAACATTTGTGGGGATGGTACATAAAATTGTCACTGCTCTGCCACAGTTCTAAACCATTCTTTCAACTGAAGCATTGGCATGGTTTCCTCTGGTTTGCTTTTAAAAGACTGCTTTCAGCTCTCGAGGTGACATGACTGGAGGCTGTTTGCTGCTTTGGACTAAGATGTCCTGTGCTCACTGTTCAGCACCAGTCTGTTGCTTAATGTTTTAGAGATGAAATGCGGTGTGTCAGTGTCTCCAAAGCTGCCTGTCCCCATCACCTCAAGTGCTGAGCCCAGCTTCTGCCATCACTCCTGCTTTAGTTTCTGTTAGTTATGGAGAGAGAAAAACATGAAGAAGGAGGGGAAATGCCAGGACTTGAGGCAGTACAAAGACTCCCATCTTCCAAAAGAGTCCATAAATGGGTGAGTGTAGGGTGCATATGACCAGATGCACCACAAGAGTCAGACCCTGGAGTCCTCAGTCTCTCCCAAGATGTGTGCAGCCATTTAAAGACTTCCCACATGTGTCCCTGGGCCAAGTTTCTCTGTTCCAACTACACAAGGGCTTATTGGGAATCTTTACACTGGAGTTAAATGTATTTGGAAGGGATGTTGTTTTACTGAAGGAAGAATTGGGGGGAGCTTATAAAATGAGCATGCCGAGAAGACACAGCCAGTGTGCAATGAAATCCAGATGTTAGGGACACTGAAGCGCTTCCCAGGCTTATTCTAGACGGCAGGAGGGAGACGTCCTTCCATGCAATCCTGTCTCTGGCTCACTGAATTGATGTATGTAGACTGTTTGCCCCTGAAGTCTACTGCCCACTGTTGTCATGGTCACACTCCAGAGAGTCCTCAGACAAGTGTGAGTGCTTGGCACATTGCGGAATTTGCAGAGTGAAGAATCAGAAATATGATAACTAGTACTAAGGACAGTGTGGAGATGGTAGGGGAGGAAGCCCCAGGCCCTGGTTCCCATAGAAACCATAATGAACAAACCCAGCCAGACATTGTCTTTAACAAACTTGTAAGCTGTGCCACCATGATAGATCCTGCAGAGACATCCTACAGGAAGAAAGCTTCTGAGGTGTCAGCCATGGCCAGCTGCTTTGCATTAGTTCATGGCAAGCTGAGACAACATGGAGGAGGGGTGTGGCCAAGGAAAGGAGAGCAGAGATGGGAAGAGGTCAGAGCAGAATGTAAATCCCAGGGCATGTTCCATGATCCACTTCTTCCAACTTGACCCATTTTCCCAAGTCCCCCATCCACTGAGACAGAGCCCTCTTACCTCGACATCTCTGGAAACTCACAGACACATGCAGACTGCCTTTTCCACTGATGCTCCTGGGCCTCTCTTGTGGCAGTCCTATTACACTTAAGATTAGCCATGATGTAAGCGCTCTGAAAAGTGGACCAAAAGAGACAGAATCTGGGACTCAACAAAGTCCATTCCCGATTCACAGTAAATACCATAGACACAGCCATGGCATGGGAATGGCTCAACAGGCCATATGTCCAGTTTTATAGAACAATGAAAGGACCCATCACACACACACACACACACACACACACACACACACACACACACGCACACGCATGCACACATGCACGCACACACTCACCAGTTTCTCTGAGACCACTGGAAGGGTATTGATTCAGAGTCTGCCATAAGTCTTGTTCTGAGGTCAATCTTGGGAATACTGTTTAGCTTGTGGGACAATTATACTATAGTTTTGGAACTTTATTCAAATGCGTATGTGGGGCTTAATGAATGCTTTTTTATTTAAAAAAAAGAAATGCATATTCCTAGAAAAAGTCACTTATTACAGCAGTATTTGAAAATCACCATTCTTTCCTCTTTACTGGTTTCCATGAGAGATGGTGGTGGACTAAGCCACATAATTTTGTCAATATTGGGAAGTTAGTTTAGCAGCTGCATGAATCAAGGCAGAGGCCATATCAGTGAATAGGCATTAAGTTCTTTTGTGCACTAATGGAAAGAGAAATACTCATGTCTTGATTTGAGTAAAAGAAATGTATTGAAAAGCTAAGAAAAAAATCCTAAAATCCCTGACTTCAGGCATTATACTGATTATTATAGAATTTTAATTTCAAAACCATCAACAATAGAATCTGTTGATCTTTAACTTAAAAATGAAATATACAATGAGACAAGGTCAATAATGTCAGTTTACATAGTTAGAGCCAGTTTGGGATGCCAGGTTCTTCTGTTAACTGTGTAATATTTAGCAAGTAGAATTCTGGGTAATATCTTGAGCTTCCTGTTCTCAGACATTTTAATTTTCTTACTTTGTTCATTATTGTTTTGCACACAGAAGAGAAGAGAAATTTGGGACTATAACTCCAGCAAAACAGCCATCTTCAGTCCATTTTTTCCCGAAGACAGCAGATGTGGATAGCACACCAATACCATTGTCACAGTCATTTTCCCATGAAATACCGCTCAACATCTACCAGATCATTAGTGCTCAAACTAGTGGTCTAACCTTATCATCAGCAGGACGATTGACTTCTAAATCTACCATCCTGAGCTTCTCCCGAGGAGACACCAACCTGGGAAAGCAGAGTACGTAAGAGCATCTGAGACTGGCCCCACAGCATGTTCTGGTTGGCTCTTTCTTTGCCTCCTTGCCTGAGGGATGTGTTATTATCATTTGTTCCTAGTGATATTTGTTTCTCAGTGTTAGGATCACACGCAGAATAGGTTGACTGGGGTCAAGAATCTTTGGCTGTAGATCTGAAATACATGTAAATGCAGGTGCCCAAATACAACATTTCCCTAAGGAAGAAGTCTGCAGCTACCATGATGGCTTATGGGTCTATTGTTAGCATGTTCTAGAATTGGTAGAGAGCTAAAACTTGCCATGTGTATTCCTAAGGACCCTTCACTAGATGCTGCTAGAAAGATCAAGATGCCTAGAGCTACCAAGATGATCTGTGGGTCAGTTGTTAACATGTTCTAGAATTGATGGAGAACTCAAATTTCCAATGTATAGTTCCAAGGATCCTTCTGATGAACATTGCTGTAAGGACTAAGCAATGTCTTCTCCATCCCTGTGGTTAAGATGCCTGGAGATGCATTGAGGGCCAGAGTTAAAATGTCCAGTGTCTATACAGCAGTAAGGGCCACTTGGAGAATACTGACAGAAAGGATAAGCAATATCTTCTTTTGAGCCTTCAGTAGACTCAAGGCTCACATACAGAAAGGACATCAAAAGGGGAATATTACAGGAGATGAAGCAGCAGAGAGAAGATGCGCAACAAAGAGAACACAAAGAGCGGAAATTGGGTGGGTACACTGTGGTACCAGCAGAGAACTGAGCCAGGTGTGCTGTGGAGGTGTGCTGCTCCTCATGATTAGGTGAGGCTGTCCTGGTGAACAGGACTGGCTCTGTTCTGCCCTCCCACAGAGTGAGGAGGGAAGGGATTTAGCAGCCCTGGCTCTGCTGTTCCACACCTGCAGAGTAGAGATTAAAAAGCCAGCTTCACAGAGCACTGCTAAGCTTGGGACATAGCCAACATGTGCAGCCCTTAGCCTACCTGTAAGCTCCTTCTAGAATAATCTACGTTTGACTTGTGTGTCTGTGACTGTGGGATGCTTCGCTCCCTCTACTCTATGGAAATTTACAGTCTGGCTGGTTCTCCTCTATATTCTGTTTATTTCTGGTATTTTCCTAGGCTTCAGCATGAGGTTACATACAGTTGTGAATGGCTCTCATAATGATCACAGTAAGCGTCGTTTTTGTGACTAAGATGAATCATCCAGAGATACTTGCTAAATTCTTGCTGCCTTTAATCCTTGACCAATATGCAGAGTGTTCAATATGCAAACACAAGCTTTAGACCTAAGAAGGAAAAGTTGCCCTCACTGGTGCTCTGCAGACCATTGTGTTTGCTCTGTGTTTGGGTTAAACTGCAAAATCCCCTGATAATGGGATCAAAGCACAGTGGCCTCACTTTGCATGGCAAGAGGTAGGTTGGGGTGTAGTCTTTGTCTTGAGCTGCCACAGATTCTTCTGCAGATAATTCAGGCCTGGATACACTGGACATGTTGTACTAGTCCAATGCCGTCTGTGGTCCTCAGGGAACTAGCAACAGTGCTTGGTTAGTGCCTTCTTTTCTTTGCAAACACAAGCATCCGTACCTCAGGACAGGCTGTGAGGGAGGATGTGGACTACCCTTTCCAAAGGAACAGAAAGATTTGGCCGGGCGTTGGTGGCGCACGCCTTTAATCCCAGCACTCGGGAGGCAGAGGCAGGCGGATCTTTGTGAGTTCGAGGCCAGCCTGGGCTACCAAGTGAGTTCCAGGAAAGGCCCTAAGCTACACAGAGAAACCCTGTCTCGAAAAACCAAAAAAAAAAAAAAAAAAAGATTTATTGCCCACTGGGATGCCAGTGCTAATTAAATTCTAGTGTTTCTTCTCAATAAAATCCTTTGAGGAACCCTCTTTAGTCATCAGGGCTGTTGATACAGCTTGGTGATTCAAGATGTGCTTAGTATGCCTGAGGCCCTAGGCACAACCCTATCACTACAACAAAAAACTATTATCTGTTCCTTTCTATAGCTCACCTTTCTTTGTTTTGTTAAAGATACAAGAATCTAAAGCAAAATCTGAGTTGTTTTTATGCTTTGATGGTTCTGGGCCCAGGGTCACATAAGGAAGACCCTTACTCTATGATAGGTATCATTTTCTCAGTACCAGCTAAAGACATGATTTACCTCTAGTCCTCATTTTCCCTTGCAGAAGGTAGTGTTACACAAGGTAGGGTTTTAATTTGGGCAGTATAGCAGGCATTAAATAGAATAAGACTATATTTGTATTTATAATACCCAAATTCACAGATTCATTGTGTACTCATGAATACAGTGGTTTCTAGTGCTAAATAATCAGTTAAACACCCGCATACTCATGAGAGGGAGCAAGGCATGTGACCTCCCCAAGGATGCCAGAGCCAAGATGGCTGCACAGTTTCTAACAGTGCCACTCTATCCCTGAACAAGTGAGACACTAAGTGACCTCTAGGAAGTGAGAGTATCATTGAAAATACTCACTATTTTATAGACCTCCACCAGGCTTCTAATTCTCACTGAGCTTGACAGGGGCAGTAAAGCCTATACAAGAAACACAGTTCTGTAAACATAGGAGCAAAGATAATGCCCTTGGATCTTTTGGTGTCTATTTATATGTCTGTCTCATTTGCTTGTCCAATTTCTTTGAAAGGCACAAGCTACATGACTCCAAAGAAACCGACCCTACTGAGCTTTGACTCCAGTACATTCCTTCTGGGGGATGGAGAGGATTATTTCCTTTCTTTGTTTGGAGACTCAAAGAGACTCACCGCATATTCATCCCAAACCGAGGATGTGAGCAAGCACCTTTCTGTGATTCTTGAAGAAGTTGGCCAGTTTACATCCAGGTACACATTTGAATAACTTCCCATCTTCTGCTGAGGCCATCGACCAGTGAAAAGCAGGGCTTGGAGCTATTATTGGATTTATTTGTTTACTACCAAAACCCCTGAGAATTCCCTGAACTATAACCATCCGTGTTCTGAACAACTAGAAACAGCTGATAAAAGTTTCTAGGGGACAACCACAGGATGTAAATATTCCAAAGGTTCCAGAGAACATGATAACGCACAGGTCATAGAGTGTCAGCCCACTCACTCACACACAGGCCTTTTATTGCTAGATAATCATTCCAGTGGATTTAGTTTTTTTCTTCTACTAGGCTGTTGAGTTCAATACAAGAACACAGTGAATTTTACATAAAAATGATCCATTTTTATGATTGTCAATTTCTATAAAAGAATTGACCAGGAAGAAAGTTGTTATTGGGACTAAAAGGAGCAAGCTCCGTCCGTTTTCTGAACCCTGCTGTGCTCACTGTGAACAGGACTGAGCTGTGAAAAGTTGATAACACAAAGCATGTAGACAGGGTGTCTGAGAGCCCAAGGAACCAGATAAGCAGCCTGTCCAGTTCCCCTTATGCCATGTTTCCAGTCGCTCGGGCCCTCTATGCCATTTAACTGATGATGGAGGAAACCTAAGTATGTGTTTCGCCACCTGGAAACATTCTATTAATATCATTCAGTGTCTATCATGGTAAAAGTGGTGGTTAAGGCAAAAGTATAGAAAGACTTTTTAATACTTCTAAATACAACTCTGTGTGTATGTGTATGTGTGCTCACACACACACACACACACACACACACACACACACAGGCACACTCTCACGTGTGTATGTGGAGGTTTGGGTATTTTTCACAGGAGACATCCACCTTGGTTTTTGTTGTTGTTGTTGTTTTTGAGATGGGATATCTTATTGGCGGTAGGGGTGGGATTGGGGGTGGGAGAACATCTAGTAATATTTTTCATCCCATGGTGATTCTAAAGCATAGACAGGGTCTCTCTTTTCCTGCAGCTTGCTCCGTAGGCTGGGCTGGCTGGCTGGTGAACCGCAGAGATCCACCTGTCTTTGCCTCTCCAATGCAGGATTACCTGTGCACTACCATGCCCAGCTTTTTGCTTGGGTTCTGGGGCTGGGACTCAGATCCTTGTACCAGGACCACAGTCACTTTACCAACTGAGCCTCTCCCAGCCCCATCACTGCTTTGGTGAGGGTTGGATAGGATGTACCTTGATCTAACTTTAAAATATTTTTTTATACTTAAAATATTGTTGAACCTCCTTATGATATTTTAATTTGAAAAAGTTTAATTAATTACGTCTTCAGATCTCCCTTTCAAACATATATTAGGCTACTTGGAATTGTGCCACATTTTTCTAATGCTGTTATTTTATTTATGTAAACCAACATTCCCCAATGCTGTCCCAAGACTCTTCTGGGGACTGTATGCAACGCTCCAGGGTTAGAAGGGTTTCATCCTGGCTGGTGAGAACAGGCACTCTTGGTGCTTCCCCTGCCAATCATTTCAAGTGTCTTTTCCTTCAGCCTTGGGGAGTTTTGTTCACATCTGAGCCGAACAAGCCCTGAGTCCACGGAAGACCGAAAGCTCCCAGGGCTCCCTCTGTGCAGGGAGTTCTCTGCTGCCTGCTACTCTGCCTGTGATATTCAGCTGTCTTGACCTCCCTAGATCCTAACCCTGTCAGAGAACCTGCTGGTTCTGTGTGGCCCCCTCTCCTTGGAGACGTTTGTAAGCTTAATACGTTGTTTCCCTGTCTGTTGGGCATCGCCACTTGCCATGGATCAATACCCCAATATCTTCAGGAACATTTGTGTTTGTTATGTTCTCAGCTGTGTCGAGTCGGGTAGAATATCCATTCCTCTTGTTCTGTCACAGTTGGGACATTTTCAGTCAAGGCTGCTGTTTCTTTTCCACAGCCATCCACCATCTCTGGGGATCACTTTAATATTTGCCAACAGGGAAAAAAAGAAAAATTTGTAGGCAAACAGAACATGAAGTGCAGAGGCCATTAGAACTTTCTCTAGTCATGTGTGTGAGCACCCCCTGTATCTGAGCCCTGCCAACCTTATTCCTTCACTTTAGGGGTAAGCAGATGACTCTAAGGGGCGACCTTCCTGTCCATCCTCCAACTCTACCTTTGATAGAGTTTGCTGTCTGTTACTGGGATAAAACACTCTGACCAAGCAGATCAGGGGAGGAAAAGTTCATCTGGCTTATACTTCCAGGTCAGAATCCATCCTTGACAGGTGTTGGAGCAAGAATGCAAGCAGGGACCCTGGAGGAACTCTGCTTGCCGGCTCATTCTGGCTCATGCCTACCTGACTCTCCTAGATAGCCTAGGACCATTTCCCCGAGGAATGATGCCACCCACAGTGGTCTGAGCCCTCCTACATGAATTAACAATCAAGAAAATACCCCTAGACATGCCCACAGGTAATTCCTCAATCAAGACTTTGCTCTCAGTTGACCCTACACTGTGTCAAATTGCCAACTAAAGCTGAGTAGTGTCCCCAAGGGGTTTCCTACTTCTGTAGGTTTGGAGTCAGAAGGGCAAGCTCAGGACTGAGATGGGCCCCAGCCACAATTGGTGCATGGACATGTGTTCTCTACTACAACTGGTGAGGCTGCAAAGCTCCTCCTGCCCCCAGAGGACTCCAGTGCAGAGTGAGCACACCACCCTGGTGGAAGTCTGTCCCTGCTGCACCAGACAGTACTGCCCACCCCATGCACACCCAATTACAAAATTGGATGCCACTTGTAACATCATTGAGACTGTTACATACAGTCAGAGGAACTGAGAGCAAGTCACTGAGTGACAGAGACCAGAAAGCCAAAAAGCAACATGGCGCTATCAGGAACCGGACTCTACACACAGCCATGCTTAAGGAAAGGGATGTGACATTCATCTCCTGTTGGCATAGCCTTGTGTTTTCCCAGTGTCCTTACAAATCAAGTGTGTACAAAAGCTGGGGACAGGAAGATGGGCACATCAGCCTCCACGCTCCGCCCACCACAGATTACAAGCACAAGTCTCAAGGTCTGTCCTAGAAGGACAAATGCGAAGGCTTTCGAGGAAGAGAAAGGACAGCTACTGAGGGCTGAGACAGCGGATGAACGGCTGCCTCAGAATTTCCATGTGCTGGGTGAAGCCTTCTCTTGTAGCATTTGGTTTCATATCAAAAGGAGAGTGAGTCAGGTTCCCTGGCACGAACAACATTTTGTTCCAGACAAGCAAATGTATCTTTTATATGTGCACAGAAACAGAGTTTAGGAGAATAATAAAATTTCACTTGACCATACAAGATTTTTAAAAAGGAACTACAAATATTTGATTATATCTGCTACAAAGAAATGGCCAGCCTGTTCACCTGCTTAAAAACAATTGTCAGATAAATGAGGTAAGACAAAGGAAATCTGAGAAGCAAAAATGTGTTCTATAAAAAATAAAACTGGGGCCGGGCGGTGGTGGCGCATGCCTTTAATCCCAGCACTCGGGAGGCAGAGCCAGGCGGATCTCTGTGAGTTTGAGGCTAGCCTGGGCTACCAAGTGAGTTCCAGGAAAGGCGCAAAGCTACACAAGAGAAACCCTGTCTCGAAAAACCAAAATAAAATAAAATAAAATAAAATAAAAATAAAATAAAACTGGGCTGGAGGGATGGGCCGGTGGTGAGGAGCCCTGGATGTTCCTGTGGAGGACCCGAGTTTGGTCCCCAGCACCCTGGTGCAGCTAGCAGCTGCCTGTAACTCCAGCTCCGGGGGATCTGGTGCCTCTTCCGGCCTCCATGGCCTCCTACATGCACATGATGCACATAAACTGACACAGGCAACTATATGTGCACATAAATATAAACCTTTAAGAAAATAAAACCATCCCACACAGAGTTCAGTACCAGTAAGATGAGAATGATGTCACAGGACCCCGGGATTTGAAATATGAGAAAAAAAGATGCGACTACAAATCAGTCAGAGCCATAAATGCTAACACACAGAGGAGAAGGAAGAAAAGACCATGTAAGTTCTGAGGTCTCTATGAGGCAGATGTGCACATGCTGGTGGGTGTAAACAGTGTGAATTATTGAAATCAGTTGAGAAATATTGATGCTGTTTCTAATTCACCACAGGGAAGTCATGACCTTCATGTGACACTCTGAAAAATGCGGAAGTGTAAGTGACTAACACAGGCCTTACAGCATGCTGCAGTCTCAATACAGATCAGAAGCACAAACGCCATTGCATGTGTATAGAATGCCACGTTTCAGAATTGCTTTTGAATGCACAGTGGCTATTCATCTTCATGTTCACTTTACCCAGAAAGAACTGTGTGCTTCAACTTTTGACGTCCGTAGTTTAAGACTGACTTACTTTTATGCGTATGTGTGTGTGCCTGCACATAGGACTGTGCGCCATGTGTGTGCATATGGTGTGTTTGGAGGCCAGAAGAGGGCATCAGACCCCCTGGAACTGGAGTTATTGGCGCTTGTGAGTTGTCATGTGTGTTCTAGAAACCAAACCCAGGTCCTCTGAAAGAACAGTAAGTGCTCTTAGCCAATGAGCCATCTCTCCAGCCCCTTGATTTCCTTTTGAATGTTCGATGTCACAGTGGCTTCTGTTGAGAGTAGGAAATAGAGAAAACCATAATCACATTTTCCTGTAACACTTACACCCTGGCACCTAAGCACATTTTAGGTTTCCTTTGTTTTGTGTAAAATGGATAATATTACTGCTCTGATAATGATCAGAACCAATAGGTCAGGCCGTTTTTCCTAGGTTGCAGAATACACAAGTTCTGGGGGCTGGAGAGATGACTCAGTGGTTAAGAGCACTGAACTGCTCCTCCTGAGGTCCTAGTTCAGTTTCCCTGACCTACCTGGCAGCTTGCTACTGTCTGTAACTCTAGTTCAGGTGATCCAGTGCCCCTTTCTGGCCTCTATGAGTACTATATGCATGTAGTACACAGATACGCATGCAAGCAAAACACCCATACACACAAAATACAAATAAATCATTTTTAAAAAGCCACAAGTCCCAGTCATAGTTTATCTAGTCATTATTGGGCTTTATTTCATTTTGGGGCTCTCATGAGGCCTGAGCTACCTTGGAACTTGCTATACAGACTAGACTGACCTTGAACTTGTGATTCTCCTGCCTCTGTGTTCTGAGTGCTGAGGTTACAGGCAGGTGCCATATTACTGAGTTCTTCCTATGTGCCAAAGACATTTCTATCCAAACTCACCGTATATTTCTTGTTTTCTAGTTCTCTTGCAGACATTAAAATAGCTGATGTCAACATCAAGGGTTTGTTCGTGAGGCTCGTCAACTCTTCTGTGGACAAAGAAGTGGAAATCGGAAACCACATCCTCCAACAGAACGTGGATGGACATGCTGTTTCCTTGTACCGGTTCCCCGCCAACATCACCATGCAGGCCGGTTCCACAGTGACAGTGAGTATGATCTGGAACCATCATAAACTTGGAGTAACAGGAACTAGGAATACCATCAGCTAGGAATGCTGTGCACTGGAAACACCATGAGCTGGGAACAATACCAGGAGAGGAGAATACAATGATGTGTGAATAGTATGGGTTGGAGACAATGATGAGATACAATGTCCTGGGAATACTTTGAACTGGAAATAATACAGTCTGGGAGTACCATGAGCCGAGAATATCAGGAACTAGAAATGCCTTAAGCTAGAAATACCATGACCTGAGAATACAGTTAGTGAGAATCCCTTGGGCTGGGAATACCTAGAATTGGAAATACCATGTGTTGAAGATACAGTGAATTGAGAATGTAGGAATGCCAGGGGCTGAGAATAAGTTGAGTTGGGAATACCATGATCTGGGTAAACTGTGAGCTGGGAATACAGTGGGTTAAGGACACAGTGAGTTAGGAATTCCATGAGCTAAAACAACAATACATCGGGAGTACTATATGCTGGGAATGCCAAGATTTGACTAGGACTTGGGAATACAATGAGTTGGGAATACTGTGAGCCGGTAAAACCAAGAGCTAGGAATCCCATGATCTAAAACAGAGCCAGTTCGGAATATCATGAGCTGGGGATAGGATTAGTTAGGAATGCCTTGGACTGGGAATATAACAGTGTGAGAATATGGCAAGCTGAGAATTCCAGGAGCTGAGGATGCTGTGATCTGGTAAATATAGTAAGTTTGAAATATCATGATCTGGGACTACCGGAAGCTGAGAACATTGTGAACTGAGAATGCCAGGAGCTAAGACTGTGATGATATGGGAATACTGTGAGTTTGGAATGGCATGAGCTAAAAATATGATGAGTTAGGAAAACCATGATCTGGGAATACAGGGAGCTGGGAATACTATGAGCTGGGAATACCTTAAGCTAGGCCAGGAGCTGGGAGTATCATGAGCTGAGACTATCAGGAGCAAGAATATGGTGAATTGGGAATACCATGATCTTGGAATACTGTGAGCTGAAAATACAGTGAGTTTTGGGGATGCCATAATCTGTGAATACTGTGAGCTGGGAATACCATGAACTGAGAATATATCAGTATGTTGGGAATACTATCAGTCAGGAATATCAGGAACTAGGAAAAACTATGAGTCAGAACTACCTTGAGTGGAACTTCATGAGCAGGGAATACCATGGGATAATAATTTGGTGAGTTGGGGATACCAGGAGCTGGGGACACAGTGAGCTGGTGATGTCAGAGCTAGGTTCCTGTAGGGAAAGCTCCCTCTAAACCAGCCTGTGGCTTGCTTGGCACAAGTGGCCACTTAGATACTTGGTCTTTGTAGTAAATGTGATTTTTGTGATTTATGGTGGAAGGACAGATGCCCATATTTTGCTCTCCACAGCGTTCTTCAGTTTAGTATCCAGTCTTGTTCTGGCTTGTCCCCTAGAGTGAAAGTCCTCAGTTTCTAAACTAAGAAAACACTTTCTTAAAAGATGAGCAAAGAGATTGTTGCCTCGGAGAGTAGGAGCTAAGTCAGTCGGTTCTCCACTTGGTCTGTTTCTCTGAACCTGGGGTGTCCAGTCCTTGGCAGTAGGTTGTAAGAGTGTATTGTGTTTGTTTTGCATGACATTGAGATAAGACCCTGTCATCTATGAAGTTCCCATTTGAGAACAATAAAATAAAAAACAAAAACAAAGAGAAAACCCTCAAAGGTCTATCACTAAGTTTACAGTGTGCAGTTGGGCTGCATTCATAGCAATCCTGGGCCACTCACAGCCCACAGGCCATGGAGTGGACTCTTGTTTAAATCGTGTTCAGTCACTGTGTTACATGGTATTTTAAGACAACTTAGAAGCACAGCTACCTTTACAGTTCCAGGCCCTTGGGAGGCTGTGGTACAAGGATCATGTGTACCCAGGAGCTCCAGCCCAGCCCAGGCAAATGCAAGGACACCTTTCCCATTAATGACTCTGAAAACCCTATCTGTGCAGAAAGATTAATAAAAATAACACTGTGACATCTGTGGATCTAAGTGGAACCCAGTGGCATTTGTCACAACAAACTGCTTTCTCAAAGGTGTGGGCAGCAGCGTCGGAAGCAAAGGCCCAGCCACCAACGGACTTTGTTTGGGAGGAACAGAACAGGTTCCGGTCCAGCCCCGACTGCACGACCATCCTGTGCAAGTCCAACGGCGAGGTGAGTGTCAGGGTCGGTGGCTGTCACTGAGCAGCCAGCCCGTGCGCTCCTCTTCTGCTCTGTGGTTCTCACTTTCTGCAAAGCATGGCCAGAATCGACTCCCCCAAACGACACAGCACCTCAGGCGGACCAGCAGCTGTCCCTCCCGTGTGCTCACCGCTGGCCAGCAGGATTGTGGCATCTGTCCCGTGCTTCTCAAGGCTGCTGCAGGTTCCGAGTCCGGTGGATTTTGTTCTGGATGCTAACGGGAAGTGTGGGATAAGGAAGGCACCTGATACAGCCTTCTCTGGTCAGCTGTTCATCCAAATGATTTCTTGAGATTCTAGCTATTCTCTAGGCAGAACTATGCACAAGGAATGTAGCACAAAGACTTGACGTCTGCACTCGGGAGTTGCACAAGCTAATGGAGGGGCTTATGCTCTTAATTTGAAATGTATCCTTTATACAGAATAAAACTAAATGCGGTGATATACTGTGTACCCCAATAAAATTTGCCTGAAGATCAGAGAATAGATCAAACCATTAGATTAAATATAAAGGCCAGGCAGTGGTGGCACACACCTTTAATCCCAGCACTAGGAAAGTTGAGACAGGAAATGATATGGCTGGGCAGAGAAAGGTATGTAAGGCCTGAGGAGACAGGAACTAGAGGCCTTTCGGCAGAAGCGTCCCTTTCAGCTAGAGGCTTTTTCGGCTGGAGCCTTTCGGCTGAGGACTCAGAGGATTTCAGTCAGAGGATTCATGGAGTTGGTGAGGTGAGACGTGGCTGTGGCTTGTTCCTGGGTCTCTCTGGTCTTTTGGCATTTACCCCAATATCTAGCTCAGGGTTTTTATTAGTAATACCATTTAGTAATTTGAGCAACAACTAAATGTGTTAAAATCTGTAATTCTTTCCCAATGCTTGACAGCTTCATGTCTTCCTTGGTACAGTACCAGCATAATTATACTCCCAAGCCAAGGACATATCAGTAGGACGGGACCATAGCCCTCTTTATGACAACCAAACACTGTTTGTTTTTCAAAATGTTCTTCAGACTTTTCTTAAATTCTCGTCTTTTATTCTTTTCCCTAGACAAATTTATTATGCCACGGCACCACTAACCCCACACTGTGTTGACCAGAATATGCGTTTCCTTCTTCCTTCATTACACCACTGTACTGGGTAACTCTGCCTGTACAACAGGCTGGAGTGAGTTTTTAAAGATGTTATTTCGTGTGTGTGTGTGTGTGTGTGTGTGTGTGTGTGTGTGTGTGTGTGTGTGTTGTATGGGAATGTGTGCTATGTATATGGTGTGTGTATGTGTGTGTGCTATGATGTGTGTATGTGTTGTATGGTATGTGTATGTGAGTGTATGCTGTGTGTATGTGAGTGTATGGTGTGTATAAGTGAATGTGTGCTGTATGGTGTGTGTGTATGTATGTGAGTGTGTGCTGTGTATGTGAAAGTATGTTGTGTGCTATGTGTATGCTGTGTGTATAAGTGTGTGCTGTGTGGGTATATGTGTGCCATGTGTGGTGTGTGTATGTTAGTGTGTGCTGTGTGGTGTGTTTGTTATGTGAATGTGTTGTGTGGTATGTGTGTATGTGAGTGTGTGGTGTTTGTTATGTGAGTGTGTGGTGTGTATGTGAGTGTGTGGTACATGTGTATGTGAGTGTGTGGTG